GATCCAGGTTTCGAGTCCTCTGCGCCTCATTATTCTTTGATTTCCTATACATTTCAGATTTGCTGCAGTGTGTTCATAATACAAAGAAGAAAATAATGCAGTTGGAGAATTCTTTTATCCTCACACCTTATGGCAGTCTCTGTTCAGAAACTCTTACCTTTAACGTCCTCACAGCTTTCCTCAACCTAAATTAAGCCACAGGGACAACACGGCAAGTTCCCTGTGCACACAGATTTCCAGAGAAAGCCAAGGAACCTTTCAGCACGTGCATCACCTGGAGCAGGGAACAGGGAGGGGAAAACACACCAGAAACTCTACAGAATCCACCATTTACCCATCCATGCTCCCTTCATTGAGCTATATACTAAAGCAATACTAAATACTAAAGCAATCATTTCCTCCTGCTTCAGATGATGTAAGGGGTCTTCAGGCTGCTCAAGGCTTTGCCCCATCAGGTCTYGATAACCTCAGGGATGGAGACCACAAAGCTCCCTGGGTTCCTCTCCCAGTGTCCTCACAGGAATCTTTTTTCCTCCTCTTAACATCCTGTCAAAACCTTCCCTGTGACAGTATGTGACCATTATCTCTCCGTCTCCCATTTCAGCAATAAACCTGGCCCTGTGGTCTCRGTAACGTCCCTGCAGGCACCAGGGGCTCCCTTGGCGAGGCTGAGCAGGTCCCGGACCCTCTCCTCACCGAGCTGTGCTCCAGACCCTGGCTCAGGCTCATCTTGTTCCCCTGTTCATCAACATCTTCCGCACACCGCACCCATCCAAAATGGGATGTAATGTTCTAGGTTCAGTCTAACGAAGGGCAAGTAAAGAGGAGCAACAACTCCCCTCAACGGGGGAGTTATTAGGGGGTTAAAATTAAGGTGATGCACAAGTACACAGCAAAAAGGTTATTAAATGAACACGGTGAAGCCGTTTTGCAGGTTTACCTCTTTTTCTAGGGTGTTTTAGCAGATGAGCACCACATGTGACAGTGACAAATGCATTCCAGCTGAGATAAGATATGTGGGTCATGCTGACTTTGCAACATTATAAACCACTGCTGGGGATAACACAGCCTCTCTGTGAGGTAATTTGCCTTATTCGGATGAAAAGATAAATGTGAATTAACAGGGACGAGTCTGCAACATTTGAGCAGTGCTATTGATCTCCTAAAGACCTAGATAAGTCACAGAGAAACCAATGCTTGCCTTGCCTGAAGTAGTGATGGATGGGAGAGCAGATCTAGCAGCTAAGGGGCTATCTCTGTCATGAGAATCATAGCACTAACACTATATATATTTTTAATTATCTTGCAGTACTGGGGAGAGTACTCGTGGTAGCAGGACGCAGAAGTGATCTTTTACTTATGATGTAAACAAAAATAYTATGAGCGAGTAAAACACTCCGTTTTTCAAACGTATTCAACAAAAATACAGTTGTATCTGACAAGAAACCATGGTTTTAATAAATACTTACCTCTAGTATTTTCAGAGAATAAAGAGAATTAATGGAATGTCTCAGTCCAGAAAGGATGTTTGTGGCAAGGACATGAACAGAATTTGTCTTTCAGGGACATGTGTTTTTCTTTGCTTCTGGGCTTCTACCTTTGCCTACCAGTGAAGAGCTAAAGCTGTGAGCTGTGCACCTAAAAATGACATAACTAAAAGATCTCACCACATTTATCTCTGCAGCACTGCAGAATAYGCTTTCTTTTGATAAAATCAGCTCTTACCATCTCCTATTAATACTTATAACATACTTAAAGTTATCAGGCACTCATCTACTATTCCAAGGATTAGAAAGGTTTTAACAATTGAATATAATAATTCCAGAGACCTCAAAAAATTTTATTCCAGTGACACAGATAGCAGCACTTTTGCTGATTGGGCATGAAATAGTTGCTTTTATTTCTAATAAAGAAACAGGAGAACACTGAGTTCCTAGGAATTTTGCAGACAGGATGTTCAAGAATAGAAATTTTAAGGTAGTGCAACTAAACCTGTTCCTGCTTCTGTGCAGGCAGATAGGTTAGTCCCTTCCAGACTTAAGTGTTGACAAGATCATTTTTCATCCATCAGTCTCTTACCTCCTCACAATCCTTGTCATGTCTTTGCTTCCATACTATCAATGCCAGAAAACGTAAGTGATTCTTCAAACAGGCAGACCAAATTCATTTGGACTCTGTAAAACAAAAATGAGGAATCAGGACACAGTTTCTCCACTCACAATATCAAACCTCTTTCCAGCCTAAAACTATCTGTTCAGGATTTGCTTCAAGCCAAGACCTTGGCAGGCTGCTCCTTTCACACCTTCTTTGGGTCTTTCTGAATCTCTGCAGTTTCTCTCCTATTCTTATTACTCCAAGCAAAGCTAAGTTTGTGACTTGAGCATCCCTTCCAAATGACACTTTCTGCCAACACTATTTATGCAGCTTTGCAGTGTTGCAGCCCTATATTTTATATTACTTCTTATTGCTTCCCTATTTTGATCTCCAAAGCAGGTGAATTGCTAGATGCATCGTGAATAGAAGACAGCAAGTACAGCATCAACATGAGCCAGGCTGCACACGACATGCGTGTTCCATTCAGCGCGTGTTCCATTCAGTGAGCTGGGAAATGAGCTTTCCCAGCACACAGGAAGCTCGGAGCTGTCTTGCCAACTGGCTGCCTGGCGAGCAGTTCTGCCAGGGTTACAGAGCAGGGCATCTCTTGTGCATTCRGCACGGCCTTGCTAGCGTTTAGTGATTAAAAAACTATTAGAGAGCCATGTCCACCATGCTCTTTTTAATCAAAAGAGCAAGCACTGGGAAGCAGCCAAGCTGCAACCACCAGGCAAGTCTGCTTTGCCTGCAACCATTTTGGTTTAAAGCAGTTTAATWCAAATGTATTTCTTCTGCATAAAGATTATTGCAAAACACACTGCTATAACAACGTCTTTGGTTTGCACAAGAGCCTTCCTCAGTCAAAAAAATCCCAGTCAAAAGCCCAGTCAAGGGAAGCTGCGCACGCTTCCTGCTCTGCCTGCTCTCCTGTAACCTCCTAGTCCAGGTGTCAGACCATTTTTTAATGTTGTGTGAAATGCAGCACCACGAAATACACTTAACAGAACTCCCTCCCTTCCTGCAAGATACTGACACATACAAAAGCCCCAAGAGTTCAGTTTAAGGTTCATGAATAACTAAAAGCTGAGGAACACCGAAGTGGAGCACAGCGGAGAAGAGACAGATGAAGGATCACATTTGCAAACTTGAGAGTTTAGCAACAGAACTTTTAACAAACTAACCTGCAACTGCAATTTTAAGCTACAAAAATCACTGAGCTAATAGAAAATGCATCTGAAAGGCAATAATAAAAACAAATCAAATAAGCAAACTCATGCATCAATCCCCAAAGGGCTGAGCGCGACGTGAACCTTGTGCTGCCTCGGTCCAGCTCCTGCCTGGGCGCTTCGTCCTGCCGGCCGCCTTGGAAGAGCCCGGGAGCTGCCGCAGACACCGCTTCCATCCCCGCGCTCGGACATCTGGAGGAGGCCCTGGGCCTGTTTAGTGAATTCCCTGGTGTTTTATTCAAAAGCCTGTAGAGAAGAGTACACAACGGTTAATGATACATCTCAATGCTGATAAAACAGCAATTTTAAACTCCCAGACTGGGAGATTGCCCTGGTTACTGCCAGGGCTCCTTGGGACCGGCCCAGTCCATGGTGGGGACCATAAAAAAACCCCAGTCTGCATTCCTTGTACAATAATCAAAACATTGGTGCTTTTTGAAATCAACTATTATACTGAAATTATATTTCTACAATTTAGAAATCAAACCTAATCTAATTTGCTACAGCTGGACACCACCTGCAGAGCACTCTTTAAATACTCTGAACATTACATACTTATCTTTTAAATATTGATAATGCCATTTTTCATTTATGTGACATGACGTCCCACAGGGAATAATTATGCTAATAAACCTTAATGATTCTTGCAAATAAATGATCAAACAAAATTGCTACTGTTGATTTATATTAATGGATGCCTTTAGGAGGAGATTTGTCAGGATGTGCTGCTTCTTGAATCCCAATTCATCTTATTTAGCAGAAGAATGCACATAGTTTGTAAAATAGATCCAATGTTTAAAATATGTGTTCATGGAAATGTTTAAAATATTATGTGTTCGTGGAATTTCTGCAGTTCATAATGTCCAAGTATTATCAATTTGCCTTATGTCAAATCTGCATTAAATGGCTTTGTATACAACTTTATTTAGTCTTTTCTTTTCCTTCTTCTATCCTTGGCAGCTAAGTCCTCCTTTTGAAGATCGTTACCTTAACCTTTCCATTACCCATGTAAGAACTTGTGATCTTTTTGTGTCCTACTGGATGAATACCACTTGTTAAACATTTTTGTTTTCCCAGCAATTAGTCTAGGAACATTCTTGGGGCTTTTACAAGGCCTGAAGTTCAGTGACCTGTGGAATTTTACAGGGTATGTGAAGATAAGCTTGGATAGGTTTTTTACCGCAGCTTTCTAATATACTGAAAATTCCCACCCCTCGCCCACCTATGCTTTTAAAGTTTTAACTAAGTTTAAATTCATGTTGTTTTGAAAAGGTAAGGCCCTTGTCATTAACTAAGAATTATATGTTAGAAACATTTAAACACAAGAATAAAACCCATCAAAATATATTAAAATACCAAACCACACATTTTTGATTAGCTACATCCAAGTGATGTTTCTTGTAAACTGCTTTCTGTAAGTTTTCTGTATTTTCTGTAAGTTTTCTTTCTAGTTATTAATCTTCTCAGAGTAAGTCGCTGCAATAATTAAGATACATAAAGCCAAGAAATAACATATCAAAGTTTTTTTTTTTTTTTTTTTTGAGAGATCTTTCAGGTAATGTTTTTGTTGAAAGAGTAACAAGTTAAGTTTTAATCTCAGTAAAAATGAAAGAATCAACATATTTATAGCATACTTGTGAAAAGGGCAAGAGTTGACTAATTTCTGGGTTCTTTCATAAGCCTACAGTGTCTTCTAACTTGCTGCAGGTAACCCACAGTGTTGTTTAATGACTACTGGGTACGCATTTCTGCCCGTCATTATTTTCGTGTATTACATCTGCTTGTGAAACATGTTAAATCATAAATAAATTGTGAAACATGTCAGTGCTGTGGACTTTTTTTTTTTTTTAGTCACTTGGAGCATGCATTTTGCTCTGGGAGCGAAAGCCACGCAGTGCAAGCACTGATTTGCCCAAGGGTATAACAGCGAAATGGGCTCCTGCACCTATCTGCATCAGACTATCTTGGGACACGATCTCAGTTCAGAGAAGAAACTTCCCCCAAAATAAACCGTAATATTAAACTGTGCATTCTAACAAACATTTGCAACTACTACGCTCACGATTGCAGTGATACATGGTGACCAAGTCCCACGTTTCATTAAAACAAAAATCACCCCAACGCCTTCTTCCCCCCCCCCCCCAAAAAAACCCAAAAACTTTTTTCTCACAATAACATACGATGCCTTTATAGGCACTTTGCATTCACAGACCTGAAAGCAGAGGGCGGCATTAATTATAGCTGTCTGAATTCAGTACCACTTACATCTGCCTGAGGATAACAAAAGAAAGTAGATTAAAAAAATCCACATGGTTTACTTTTAAAAGAAGAGTTTTGAAGCTCAGGTTTAAACGATGCTAACATGCATTCTAAATCTTGGCTTATTTTAATTGTCTGCTGCCCTCTGTCTTCTTCCTTTAACTTTAAAATACCAAAAATACCCTGTTTCCCTGGACTACTTCCAGGAAATGACTCAAGGTCTCTATAACTTCAGTTTCACATTCATGAATCCATCAAGCCTACTGAATATTTATCAGATTTTTAGGGTTTTCTTCTTCTGCTGAAACATTTGCATTTAAATAAATAATAATAAAAGAAAGCTGAAAACAGTCTTCTAGAATTCCCTTTCTTTTGCATTACCTCTTTCAACTTTCGTACCATCATTGGAGCCATTGTCTACCAAATCTTCCCAGCAGACAGAGCGTATGTTACTGCTGTAAAAACGAGAAGCAGTTTGGGAACGATTATGTCATGTGATTACATGAGTTTTTAACATGCATATTGTTATTATACTTGTTGCTTTTTATTACTACTATAAAAAAACTGTAATTTATCATTTGCTCAGTCTTTGATTAAAAGTGACATTGGATTTGCCATTCATTACTTTCTTCGGGGTATTTTATTCAATTTCTTTTATTTTTCCATGAAGACATTATTCCGGAAAATAAGAATTTTGGCATTTTTTTGGTGCCAACACCAATCCTAAGGAGCCTGTGGTGTCAGCTCCACCCTTCCTGGTGCTGAGAGACCCAAGACGTTTCTCTGCAGCACCAGGGGAAGAATTGGAAGCACCGGGGAATGTGATGTCTCACACGTGTAAATGCATATATTACACACAAGATTTCGAGGACAGACTTTCCATTCATAAGTTTTTTTCTTAGTTATTAATACTATTTATTTATTGGGTGTTGCTGCTAACATGGTGAGTTCAGGGCTGTTCAGGGTTGAGGACAGGGCAGCAATGCCTAAAAAATACCCCATCTGGGGGTACAGGATGCAGCAACCTGTAAAAGCAGCAGAAATTCCCCCCCCTCGTGGGAGGTTTGCTGGTCATGACACCGGGTCCACTATTGTAAGCTGCAGCTGCCAAACTGCCGGACAAGAACATTAAACAATTTTCTAATATTGTTGTTTGATGCCAGCCATTGCTGCTGTTTATAGCAAAACCTCCACTGCAAAAGGCTCTCTCAGCTCCCCAGTAGGCACTGTGAGCCAGTCTGGTAGCCTGTGGACTATCACACCACATCCATACTGGTGGTGAGTGCTTAATTTGGAGTTTTCTCTTTATACTTTTACTAGAACTAATCTGTATCATTCTAAACTAACAGCAATTTCATGTGTTGAGGAAAAAGTGTCTTCTCATTCTAAATCCTCTTTAATGATCATGCCTACCCCATTCCACTGAGATTGTTCAGAGGGAAGAGACTCTAATCTATTTAGCTTCCAGGAGTGCTTCTCTCTGACATGTGCTCTCCTAATAGACCATTTATCAGGATGAAGGGCGCTCCCCGGAGACTGCAGACAGCGGGACAGGCCTAGCCTGAGTGACAGTCTGTCCAGGAGAGATTGACTTTAATGAAGCACAGAATAAACAGGAAGATTAAGAGTGCAAAAATCAGTGACAAGTTTTGAGTTCACTTGAGCAGCTTACTGTGCTGCGCAGATCTGTTGTTGAGGTATAAATGCTATGTATTTGTTTGACTGCTAATGATCCCTAAAACACATGGAAAGCCTGCAAACATTGCAAGATAAATCTTTGCCTCTGAGTCCCACCTCTGAAATGCCACACAATCATCACTATGTACTTATTTTAATGCCAGGAATATTCATACAGAATTGGAGGCTGGAATGGACCTCTGGAGGTCCTCTGGTCTGACCCCCTGCTCAAAGCAGGGCCAGCTTCCAGCATGCATTTCATTCATTTTGAATTTTATATTTAGTAATTCCTGATCAGCTGACAACCTTCTGTCATTCTTGAATTAAAATATACGCTTTAGGACAAGCAAAGAAATCAAACATACCTCCTGTTGCAGATGCAAGTATTTATGAGAACACAGAATTCCGGTGGGAAAGATGATTCCTAGGAAGTCAATGGGAGTTTTAGCTGCAGTTCCTAAAACAGAATTAAATCAGTGTTAATCACTTTGGAAGAGTTGTGTCAGACAAATACTTTACCAAAACAAAACTGAACAGAAATTTCCAAATAAAACAACTACAGCAGGAACTTTTGATGTAAAATTGCAGGATTATGTGAAGCTTTTCACATAAGATGGCTAGGTACAGTTAACTTTATAGATGCTATTCTGTCATTTTTTCCTCCATGTAAAACTTGTGCCTTGCCTAAAGTTGGATGTTAAACAAATAACACTAACAGTGTAATCGTAGATGTTTCAGGGTCCCCATCTGCCTGGGATTAATTATACACTGTCAACAGATGATGGCGCCAGAATTCAATCTTAAATCAACTATCTAGTTTATTCAATAACTGGCCTTGCTTTGAGCAAGTACATGCAAACAAATCTACCAAAATTTAGTTACCAAAATGTAAACCACATATTAAAAAAGACATAAATTATCTAAAGCTTTGAATATGCCTTTTAAAATAATCCATCATCTTCACCTTTTCTTTCATGTCTCATGCCTCAACCATTAACCATTGAACAAAAAAATTGCCTTTAAAAGTGTGCACAACAAAATGAGACGTTTTCAGCCAGAAATGTATCTTTGATGGAAGCTATGGATATATATTCATGTTGCCGGAGTTGTCATGCTTTCAGCCATTGCTGATCTTGTGCTACCTACAGAAATGAGGCTTTTCTGAACAGCAAATGAGAACTGCAGGATCGGATCATCAAGAATATGAAGCTCAAGTAGATATTAACGGCAGGCTAGTTGTCCTTCCAAAATGATAAATAATGAGGCTGTTGATTGGAAACGTGCTTTGTAAAAACCACTCCCCACCAATGATGATGAGCTGCTTATTTCATCTCTGTCAAATTCTTTTGTTTAAATATTGTCAGTTTTGACAGCACGTAAAATTGCCTGTTAAATCAACATATACAAACCAATTTATCAGAAAGTCTGTGTTCATGGCTTCTCAACAAAACAATGTACAGATTTAAAATAACAGCAGCAAATATAACTTAAGATTTGGTACCCTGATGAGCAACAGTATTTCTAATGCAGATTATAGCTTAAAGGAGAAAAGAAAAAGGTGTTAAATCATCAGAAATTACAAAAAAATGAACACTTATATGGTTAAACCTCTGTAAGGTCTAAACAATAGCAAGTTTTTAACGGAAACTATGTTGCTTAATCTACAAAGAATGTTTTCCATTTACCATATGTTAGCAGAACTATCATTAAAACTGTAATTTATTATTGGAAAGAGCTTCAAAATATTATGCTGAGGCACCAGAATCATGTCCTGGAACCAGTGGTTGGGTCAGCATTTTGTTCACGGTAATAAGTTCTGATATGCCTCAAGCAAGACAAAGAGGTCCATTAATTTTGAAAGGCCAAACCCCCCAAATACTGTACTTGCTAAAAGTGTAATTAGTAGGTTGAATTCTACAGTTCAGAATAATGCTGGTTGTTACACAATTTTCAGCAGACATTGTTTGGTCAGAGTGCACTAATATTTTCACAATGTATCTAAAAAAAAAATCAGAAACCTTTCCATTCCCCAAGTCTTTTTGGCATCTAACACATTCATGCTGTGATTGTCAAAATATCTGCACTGAAATTTGAAGCCTAATACTGTACCTTCTATGTTTAGAAATCACTGTAAAGCCCATTTATTACTTCCAAGCTCATTTACTGATAGGACTGTCATTTTTTGACAGACAGTAATAAAGGTATTAGTAACTGCTTTACACTGCTTTGTACATCTTATATATTCTTTTCTCATTAAAGAGCATTTTGACACATTTTAACAAGAGAATGTATTTTTTATATGCTTGATGCACAAGTAACATCTTTGTACTAGCCTGATTTTTACTACCCATTAAAAGACAACAAAGATTTTTCTTAGACACTGTACATTCTCTTACTCTTAAGCTATGACACAAAAAGACTTCTTAAGAAGAAAAAAACTAATTAAAGATGCAAATACAATTGATGGTGAGAAAATCCACAGATCTAAAATAAAACTGGGTTCAAAACATACTTTCATTCTTTGCACAAGTATGCTGCAGGATTTTTTTCATAACATATTATCAGTACCCCTCAACAAGAAATCTTTACTTCTGACTGCAATTTATCTACGTGCACTTTGAATATTATACTCTGCTTACATGCTTGGAAAATGCCTCTCAAATTAGAATGCTCAAATGGATATTAGGGAATTGATTTGCTTCTATATCTGCTAAAAATACTATACAGTTTCAGTTTCACCTTGTCATTAAGAGTGAATTTGGAAAGACGATTATCCTCCATAATTTTGCTTTATATCCATTAACATTCTTCTCTCCAGCCTCCCAATATAATTTTTTTTTCTTCTTAAATATAGAAAGTATCAATATAAACCTAGGTTGAGCTTCCACATACAGCTCCTGTAAAAGTAAACCATGACAAGAAGAATTGGAGCAAAGTCTGAAGCTGCACAATTAACATAGTAGGATGCTATTTCTTGTTCCCTAGGTAGATTAAATCCAAAAGGGCCAGGACAGGTTACAATTGATTTTGCTCAGATGGATTCTTGTGTCTGCACTACCCTTTTCCCACAAAATCCCTAGAGCAGCTACCGGAGCTGTATGGAGCACCGATTCCTGCCAACAGCTCCAAGGACCACAACTTCATACAGCCGGGTATGTTATTTATCACTTTATCCCCAAAGCCGCCCTTGACTGCTGAGAAAACAGCCTGCTGCCCTCAACTACAGGCTGTAGGAGCAGATTCGATGCCCAGGCACCAGGCCTCTCCTCCTGCTAGGTGGGCAGCACTGCTAGCACTGGAGGAGGGTTTGTAGAGAGGTAGATAAAACTGATTTGTGTGCATCAAGTTATTCTTTTGCTCTCTGCTTACTGAGGAAGGGAATTAAAATACACGCCAGCCTGATTTCCTACGAAAATTTAATTTGACCAGCAATGCAGCATGTATCTTCTACAGATCAGATGGTTAATGACAACTCAGCTAATCCTATGCTGTTAATTTGAGAGCTGCATCTATCTATCCTGTGATCCCTGTTGGCAACACAGCGCAGTGAAGATGCACCAGCTCGGGTTTAAACACAGAGCGGGATTTTGCCGGGAATGCAGCTGTGGAAGCAGGAAGCTCCCAGGACGCTCTAACTGCTCCCAGCCTGGACGGCCACTCTGTGTCGGCTTTACCCCCACTGCACCTTGGACTCGGCTGCACCAGGGCAGGACTGCAACTGTACCAAGGCAGGCAGGAATCCCAGTCCAACGTGAGGTTCAGTAACACCTTCCCCTCCTGCTAGGCTTATACAGGATGCAGCTCTTGGAGATGAATGAACCTTGAAGCAGTGCCATTAGTCCTGTACAAAATATGGCTAATTCCTCCTTGGAAAACATCAGTAAAGCCCTGGTTCCAGCTAATACAGAAGTCTGAGGAAGGAAGATAGGGGGGGTGATCCTGCATCTGGTAGCAAAACACCCTAAAGCATAAACGCAATGAGTTTCTTCACTTTCTGAATGTTGTTCACTGCTGTGGGGAGAGTGAAGATGACAACAAAAGGACAAGCTTATAGAGGCCCCACCTTACTGGCCACATAATACTAATTTCTTCTATTTTAAAAAAATGCATGAAGACTACAGTAAGGCATTTTATTTTCTTTATTATTATTATTATTAACCTAGCTTCAAATTCAAGAGTGCAATCGCATGCTTTGTTCTTCTGGGATAAATGCGTGTGCACGTACCTGTGTGTTTTAGCAATTTATATAAAAGTTAATCCAGGGGTGCGATGAGAAATGCACATTTAAATGAGCAGAGGGAATAACAAAGAAAACAGATGAGTCCCATTACAGGTGTCTGTGAGGAAGGGAATATGGATGTGAAGCTCCAGTCTGAGAATTTTAACAGCTGTCAACATTAAAATACCCAAATGGGAATTAGAAGAATATAAGTCTTGCAGGTTACTGATGTTCGGCCTCGGCATCCACAGAGGGTTCAAATTAACGGAGCAGGGTTTAAACTCAGACAGTGTGTTAGGGATAATTTTGTGTTCTGGTGAATGTAATCTTCATCATACAAAATGAGCTTGTCTTTTACTAAGAAATAACTTTCTTTTTGGGTAGAAACAGAGTAAAACGTAGAGTTTTTAATTTTCTGAAGGTACAAAACAATATACGCAACCAGAGATCTAAAAGCACACACAGATTTACCATCTTACTCTGTTAAATGCAGTACAAGCCAGATTTACATTAAAAGCTATTTGAAAAGGCTGGTTCTTGACTTTTGTTTGTTTGTTATTTTTTTTACTCACAATTCTAGAAGACTCAGCTAGGTTCAATACTGAAGTAGACAACATCTATATTTTATCATCTCTTTTCTATTCATCATAGAAAATGGGAGTCCCTCTTGAAGACCGTTACTTGTTTATATAAATTGTCCTCACTATTGTGGAATTTTGTGGAATCCTAGTCTTTCCATTAGGAATATCAAAAAGGGACCAGCTGCATTTACAGTAGGATGGGCTTGGAGAGGGTCTCCTTCTTTACACTCTGATCTCTAAAGAGAGAAGAAAGTGAAGAAAACGAGGGTGCAGAGGAGAGCCCGGCACATGCACCATTTCAACTACAAGGCACTCAAGAATGAGGAGAGTAGAATAAGTTAACTCTCTCTTACCTAACAACCCTTCTAAGAAACATACAGAACAATTTGAGGTCTATAAGGTTACGAAATTAAGCAAAATATGTTCTCTAGTAATATAAGAGAACACCAACCATATATGCATATGTTATCTGTCTCAGGCAACCCCTATAATATAAAGGCATTATAGAATACAACAGTAATACATAGCTGCCTTTTCATTGGAGTAAGAGTTGGAACCTCTCACAACTAGGATCACACAACTCCTCTTTACTTTAAGACTAGTCTTAGGGTAAGGCAGGGTCTTTTTTTGTTAAGAATTGTTAAATCCATTCCTGGGCATCACCAGGTATATCAAGATATGAAAACTATTAGAAACCTCACAGGTACGGCGGTCTATTTCAGTCTCGTTCACGGTATATGTGTATACATACATACATATATATATATGTGTATATATATGTGTATATATACACATACATATACATATATACATATATGTATACATATATACATATATACACACACATATATATATGTATGTATACACACACACACACACACACACATCCCTATCCTTGGAACAAACCTTAATCCCAGCACCGTAAATGAGAGCAGTTCCTAGATTTTAAGATTTGGGGATGCTTGAATAGGAGTTTACTTCAACATTTGCATCCTTATTTACACTGGATTTCTAGAACTTCTACAAATGCTGGATAGAAACTCTACGTCTGAACTATTTGCACCTCTCTCTGCATTTTACTGTTAACAGAAAAGTAGGTAAAAAGTTTTTCTTTCTAGTCACTTGCAGAACTTGATTATGATATTCGCTCTTCTACCCAGGTAATACTCATCAGTAAAACAATTAAAGATCCCCAGAAATATGTCTATTAGAATACTAAATTCACATCTTAATTTATACTTACTTTTTTTCTTAAATGAAAACTGCCAGAAATAAAAATGTCATAATATTAAAAAAATAAGCAAAAATAACTAGGCTGTTTTCAATCATTTATCATTTTACATATACACAGAAGTATTTAGGTTAAGACAGTGGGTATTTATGCTACAGTAGCTAAATTGCACATCCAATTTGCGTAGTTCCACGAACACAATCACATATTTAAAAAACAAAATACCAGTATCATAAAACTGTATTTAAAGTTCAATCTTTAACAATAAAGTTATGATCATTTAAAAAATAATAGAACTTTATAGAGAATAACATGTCCTCTCAATTATCAGTCATTTAAGTGAGCAAGAAAGGACTGGGTGTGAGACCTACAAAAATTTATCATATTCACTGAATAGCCAGTGATAAGCAGAATCTCTTGTAATAGGAAATATCAACTAAATGCTTTCATCAGACACCCACTTTACACCTTTTGTTAGCATTGCTTGTGATTTAGAAATCAATTTGTAGCAGCTCAGCAAGGACAATCTCTTTTCCTGGAGACTGCTTCCTCCTGCTACGAATTCTAAACTACAATTAAAATGTTTTTTGCTTTTATAATCCCAAAGCTAACGATAATCCAACACAATGGCATTTATCTATCAGGAGACAAACTGAAACCATACCTCTAGGGATCGTTAACCCTTGCTTGTAAATTCAACCTTTAAAATATTTTATTGCAGGCTAAAGATGGGGAAAAAAGAGGCAGCAGCTGGATTCTACTGAAGATCTAAAATAAATAAACGACTGCTTTGATTTTGTCAACGAGTCCAGCCTGTGCAGTGGCTGGTGCTCAGGGAGCATATCCTCCCCTCTCAAACCCACCTGAAGGTTATGTGAAACCTGGCCACATCCTGGGGCCCTGGCTCAGCAGCTGCCACGGGAAAGGTGCCCGAGTAGAGGCTGCAGGGCATGGTTCACAGGATGCACTTCCCAGAAAGCTGCTAGCAAAATGAGGCAGTTACCAACATACTTGAGAGAAAAAGGGACATGACTGTAATTAAAGAATAAGCGTGCATTAGAGGCTTTTAAGATTTAATTTGGGTACCAAATTACATCTTAGTTCTCTTTCCTTAAACAATTAAAAAAAAGAAGCTTCTGACCCCAAATAAGCTCTTTTAAAATTCAGCACAGCAGCTATTAGTCAGTCTTTATATCGTACTATCGCCCTGAAAGAGAATCCAACTATGTCTTGCACCTGTCCTATAATCCCAGCCCCAAAGAGTTTGCAGTTCATATGTTATATTTATATATAATTATAGTGCAAGTATAAACCCCAAACCCTCTTACAAGTGGCAAAGTTCTCAAAAATCCAGATAATTACAACCCTAGCTCATCCTGATTTGGGAGACTATTTTTAGAACAGTATTGGCTGATGTGCTCTGAGCTTTTTTATATTTGCATTAAGTCCTCTGTGATTCCTCTTCTGAAATGTGTGCATATGCCGAGTCCATGTGAGACGCTACCACTGGCGCTTGTCATAAGAATTAAATCCCTCTCAAGCTTGTTTACAGCTCAGCACTTGTCATACTGCTCCCCTGAGCTTCATGGCTGGTTGGGTTTTTTCCTCTCTCTCTGGCTCTATGAAAGATTTAATTTCTTTTTTGTTTATGTGTGTACTTACACTTGCAGGTGCAGAAAAGAAAAAAATTGCTGTACCCAGATGTTTTGAAGCTGCAGTAGCATACACACAGCTCAGATTAAGGAGGAAAGAATGCATCAGATAAAACTGACCTTTTTGTATAGCATTCTTCGGAATAGTTAATAAACCTATTGCATTTCATGGACAATAAGACTCTTGAAATCATTGTTAGGAAAACTGGAATGTTGAGATTTATCTTTTTTTCTTTCTTTCTTTTTTTTTTTTAAAGACTTTTAAAAGTCTGAAGGTGGTTCCATTACTTATGTTTTAAATTTTACTAAGAATCTTGTTACCATGACTCAATCATGAATACAACTACTGCATACCAAGATGCCTTGGTTTATTCCTGAGTTAGCTGAACCTCAGAGAGCTAATCTAGATTTTCATCTAATAGTTTAAGTAGTATATTGTATTTTTAGAAGAAATAATAACAAAAATACCACCTTTCTCTTTCAGTAGTAATAGAAGAAAGGACTGATTCTGGTGCATGTAAAGCTCTATTTCTCATATTTCAGATCGTGCCTAGTTGAATATATCTCCATTTCACAGCCACAACTGGTTAACCTTGCAATTCATTTATCTCACGATGCACTCTAACAGTCCATAAAAGACTGCAAAGGTTAATCAGCTATGGTTTCATAGGCAACTACTCTATCTATCCATCTACACACACAGTAATGGCTTATCTGCCTCACCTTACCAGCATGTGCAGAGAAAGGCAGGCTTAGTGCAGTCAGAACAATAGTTACTTATTTCTTTTTTCAAGCTTAGCACACGAGTTAGGAAACTTTCCTTAGGCATATTCCTCAAATTAATCAGCACAGTTAAGCACAAAATATAATATATAGCTATATAATAATATAGCTCTTTCCTTAGTTTTCTGTTATTAACTTTTGCCTTTTAATTTTCCCAGCTGTGCACACCCTCTAATGCAGAACTATTGTGAATCTAGCTTGTTGAATCTAGTTTTCTTTTAGCTGTTTCCTGTATCAATAATTTTCTCTTGAGCTTCCACTGGGCACCGTAGGGAACAAACTGACAGTAGCCCTGCAACATGACCTCTGTGGTCATGCTTGTTCTTTCTATTCGTATTAAAAAGTCACTGTGAGGAAGATAGATGACATGTACATACATATATATATGTATCCATAAAAATAGATTGATATGTACTCTTTCAAAATCCAAAGACAGCTCTGTGTGTAGTTATATATATATGAAATATTCTATATATATATACACACTCACCTTATACTCACTGATTTTCTATCTCAGTATTACTAACGTGACTGTGCACAACTATATACAGTCAAAACGAGGGCCAAGCTGCAATGATACCCTTGTGTAAAAGATACAGGACAGAAAGTCCTTTGCTATGCTGAAAGAAGAACATTAGGATAGTTAAACCAAAACAGTTGTTTACAGCATGTTCAAAATACGTGGTATGGCACAAGTACCAAGATAGTACTGACCTACCCCCAGTGATTAAATATGATCTGTGGCAAGCATAAAAGTTTCCACTTTGTACATATTCTTTTTCAGCAGATGAGCAAGAAACACAAGTTGATAATACGGGTGTAGTGCACGAAGCACATTTCACCTTCCAGGGACAGATATGGCAGTGAAATATATCTAGCTCGATGGGTAAGAATTATTACCTGAGTTTCAACTGTGGGAGCCTTGGACATTATTGATCTTTACCCAATTGGTGCAGAAGACACTCAAGAAGCCACAAAATTAGAGTGAAGTCAAATCTCTTTGTGTTGTGATGTCAATAACAGACAGTTTGGGCACACAGCAGCACAAAATCTAATGCTTCTTGATAGAGACTTCTACTCCCATTAATGAAAAGACTAAAACGAGAAGCATTTTGCCTGTATGTGCTTTATATTCCACTCACAGTAATATCCCTACTTGCTGCTGCTTCTTATCGATCTTTCATTGCAGTGAGGCGTCTTGACAATCTAATGACATTTTCAGTTTGCTGCTGTGTATTTTCCATGGAGATACTGTTCAGCAGCTACCAGCCTTAATATCACCTATAACAAACACAACATAGGAGTTAGAGAGAGACAAAAATTCAGTGCCATCATTCTATTCTCTCTCCCTTATTTCTTACATGAGGTTGAAAGGTCACATACACAATGAAAGGAGAGGGAAGTAAAAAATGTGTGTTTGATTCGTACAGAAAAAGCAGTAAATTAAAAAGAACTCTGCAAACAAATCAAGTAAAGAACACACTAATATACACTACATTTGACATTGGAAGACAAGAGATCACAGATTCATAGAATCATTACGGTTGCAAAGGACCTTGAAGATCAAGCCCAACCATAAACCTATCACCACTGTGCCTGCTAAGCCATGTCCCAAAATGGTCCTTTCCACACACTTCCTAAACACTATCAAGGACGACTCCACCACTTCCCTGAGCAATTTTTTTTTTCTTCTCTCTCTCTCTCTCTCTCTCTCTCTCTCCCTCCCTCCCTCCCCTCAAACTACTTGTATTCAGGTTCCAGGCTATTTTAGTCTGTTAATGCATGTTTAGAGTTGTAATAGTGCCAATTCCAAACTATTTTTATGGCACAGGAGATTAAAGTATGATGAATTTTAGGTATAGCAGGATTAATTGTTCTAATATAAGACAGCTCCAAAATTTGTTTTATGTTCTATTATACAACGGGCATATAAGAAAATGCATCATTAAAGTAGCAAGAACAAAAAAGTTTTAATGCCCAAACCTGAATTTTTCCTTTTTCCTCCTCAGAAACATGCAGGTCATTATATACATAGGGGCTGTTTTATGGTCAAGTAGGGCTATAGTGAACTGGCTAGTGCAGGGGCTGTGCAATGTCACCCATTCAGCTGCTTTCCCACAGGATTTCTGGCAGTTGTCTTTTAGCAATGAGACTTATTGCCATCATTGAAACATTACCTCAGTCATAATGAAGCAGATTTAAACAAACAACTCCACAGATAACTGTTTGGTTGAACAAAATGTATTAAGGCCTTTCTCAACACCGCTGTTTGTTAAAATAGGAATAAATACAAGAATAAAACAGCCTCACTCTGAAGAGGGCTGCAATTTCACAGAAAGGCCTTGCAAGTAATGCCRGTACTGCTTACAGCCCCACACAGAAAGATAACTGTGAATGCAGGAAAGGATTTCATGCTTACCCCCCCAGTTAATGCGATGCAGGGAATGAAGTCCTCATTCATCTTTCTGTTCATGAGACCAACATACTCTTGACATTAACTACATCCCATGAGATCTTATCAAATGGTAGCCACTGACCAGAAGAAGCTGTAGAGCACAAAAAAAGGAGAATATTAGATATACAAGCGTTCGTAATCCCTGACGGTCAACAAGTCTCCTTCAGTGTCTCAGATTCAGCTTCCTCAATGCTACAAACAGGAGATAATCTAATCATAAAAACACAGTTTTTGTATATAGTTGTATACACAAATACATGCTTGTCTTTATATCTCTTTTTCCAGAAAAAAGTTAATAAATGCCAAGTTAAAACGCTTACTTTATTTTAACAAAAGGAATAGCTAATAGTCTCTTTAAAAGACAGAAGGTTTTACTTGAGAAAGTTTTCTTGTACTGCAAAGAGGCAAGGTATAATACATACCTTGACAGGTAATACAAATACATACATTAAAAATCCACATACTCCTTATCTAGCAGCCTTAACAAGAGGAGATCAAGGGGGGCTTGAACTTATTGTTAGAATTCTGTGACTAAGTCATGAATGAAAACGGTCACAAAAGGCTGTAATAAACTGATTAAAGGAAATGAAATTTTGATCTAAGAAAGGAGAAAGCATTTACATTCTTAATTATACAACTTAAGAGCAAAATATATTGTCCAAAGAATGAAAGTTAACATTTATCATTATAAGAGAGCTTTCTTTATAAAGCTGCCCCATTTACCTAAGTTTTTGTGAAAATTTCTCTTTTGAATCAAGTGCCTAACATTAAGAGTTCTGTGAACTAGAGAAAAAAGAATACAAACAAACAAAAAAAGCCCCCAAACAGCCCTTAATAGCAAATTCCTAACATCCCAGCAAGTCTGCTAACCAACTATCCAAAAAGGTATTTAAAGCATAGTTAATTGCTGATGAGGTCATATTTTTTATCAATTAATTACAGACCGTACATGTAATTTGAATATTGAAACTTTAATATGAAGCTAAAATTGACCAAATTAAAATGAAAATGTGCATAATACTGGTTATCCCTATGGTCACCATAAAAATCTCATTCTCCTAAAAAGATTTTCAGAATAGTAACTAGACCTCAAAAACAGCAAGCTACGTGATTTTCTATCAATAGATGCAATAGCTTAACTGTAACTACAGTCTTCCAGAGAATAGGTTTCTCAGCTAATCATTTTTCCCTTTTTTTTTTTTGCAACATGTATGATGCAACAGAGGAGAAAAAATCATAACTTACCATCATTAACTTAGGTCAAGAAAATAATACAAAATTGTAATCAAATGTTTTAGAGTTAGAGTGATCCAAGACTTTTTGTAATATATACACACACAAACATGAAATAATAGCCAACATTTTTTTAAATTAAAAAAAAAGATCACAAGTCTCAAATACTAAGCAGTGTGGAAAACAAAACCCTCAAAGAACCATTGGATATAAAATCTGCCTCGAATCAAAGTTTCTAGACAGCCTACTGCCAGCGTCTTTGGTGGGACATTCATATGCCCAATAGTACACAGAAAGAAGGCTTTTTTAAATATTGGATCTCAGTATTTGCTATGATTTGATCTGATTTTTTTTTCCTTCCTCAGTTTATGCATCCACTCCATCCAGGAAAACTTGAACCTTCAGTAATTTTTTTTTTTTTCATAATTTCTTTTCTAAACTGCATGAGGCAAGTTGAGAAGTTTGCTGCATCTATAGAATAGTCAAGTGACAAAATACTTACTGGCCATGAGCTGTTTTTCCATTAAATAAAAATAGTAGAGTCAGCATTAGACACATGCTGTTTCTTTAAAAATAGAAGTTAAACAAACACAAAAAACATTATTCAATCAAATATGGTAAATGTTTTGAGAAGGGAAACAGAAACTCTGATATGGACAATAAAAATTAACTTTAATGTTCTTGGTAAAGCCACAAAACCAAGGAACAATTCTTTCTTAAGCATAAAAAGCAACCTGCTACTGAAGATTGGATGGAAAAATGTACTTCTCAGAAATGAGCAACAAAGCCCCAAATACCTCCTCCTCCCAGAGGAAAGTTTCAAACTATGTTGAACATAAAAGGACCTTCTGCAGCGCCTTCAGCCGAAAGTGCCAGTTTCCTCCTCTCTAGGAAGCCTCCTAAATACATGATAGAGATTATTCTTCTATTTCAAATGAGAGCAGGGGCAAGGAAGTGCACACCTGTAATGAATTTTAGTGAAGAAAAAACTCATGACATTGTTTGAGACGCATTTTACTCGTCTATCTAAAGCAAGTGAATCTTGCCTTAATCTTGCTAGAACACCAGCTTTCCTTCTTTTGAAAAGGCTGCTATTTTAGATGTTAGCTATTTGGGCATTTGATACCTAACGCTAACTTTTATACAAAGATTCCCTAACATGGGTTGCAATAATATGATTCATATATTCACACCTAAGATGGATATATTTTTCCCCAAATATTGAGTTGTTTCAGTCAGCTTTATTCTTCAACTTTTTACAACAGTAAGTGGCCTTCAAACATGGGTGTTTTCCATCAAAATTAATACTATTTGCAAAAATATTAAAATAGCAAATGTTTTAAAATATTTAAAAAATATTAAAATAGCAAATGTTTTAGTTTTTTTTTCAATGAAACTGTGTAATAAAGATGAATGTGAGGAAATTACAACCAAATACTATATTAAGTTCAACTAGAAATAGCTGTGGTAACCTTTTCCAAAAACATAACCAGAGTCTGATTCTAGATAAGTCATCTGCACATATTAAAAATAGTACAGACAGTACTGGATTTATATGTGCACGATATTTATACTGCAGATTCACTCAGGAAGTCCTTCAGTAACACCTATACCAAGTCCATAGCTATTTTAGTCTTCTGAAGCCCTTGCTGGGATGCTGTATTCTATAATCATTTATCTGTACTTTCATGCATGAACACAGACCTGTTGATCAGAGCTCTCCAGGATATAACACTAAAGATCTTCAAATTACACAACAAATGATACAATTGCCATTTTCTTTTGTATATCTTGATCTTTACAAAAGGTAAGGATACCATTAAGCTGAGGTATGATTGATTAGGTAAACATTTTCACTTTCATTATTAAAAGACTTCTAGTAACCTGGCATGGATGGAAATAAAGATGTAAATTAAAAGGCTCAAAAATGGAAGAGACATAAAAGGAACTTAACACTTACTACTTGCATTTTTCATTTTTTCAGTCGTATTTATGCATAGGCATATGCTCATTTAATTCTAAAATCGCAGAAGTCTTAAAATAACAATAAACGATAAAACTGTATTGGAGAATTGTCACTAAATCTTTTCAAAAAGACAGGAAAACTATACCCAAAGTAACAAGCTAAGTAATGAAATTATTCACGAAGACAATATTTTGTTGCAAATATTTACTCAAAAAGTGATAATTTACAGCAGTGCTTTAACAGCTGTTCAAAACAGTTAACATTCATTAAAAACAAAACTAAGTCAAAAGCACATTCTGAATGTTTCCAATGGAGCAGCGAAGTTATAATAAGCTACTGGTTAATCATATGCATTCCTATCTCGAGCTGCTAACTATAAAGCAAAAAAAGGCAAAACAAAATAAAAAATCCAGCAGCCATCTTCCATATAATTTAGAATACAAAACGTCCTGAAATGCAACTGTACAATTCTACTTTATATGCCCTTGTGTGATTTTTGTAACAGTTAGCAAGTAGCAGCTGCAAAATGGCAGAGTGCATGCCAGTTGGTGTTTCCAGTTTGGGGGTTCTTTTTCCTCTTTAAAACCTTTTTTTTTTTTTTTAATTTATTTTTTTAAACATTAAACCATACTTTGGTTTGACTTACAGACCATTTCCTTGGGTCTACTACTAAGAATAATTAAAACAACGGTAAAAGTCTAATAGCTACAGTACTTTCAGCAGGTTGCTCTATTTTATACAACTATGTCTGGTATTTCTGCACAGCTTGCACACGTAAAACCCCACAAATATATACTTTTTCTTGTAATAATTCCACTTTCACTGAAAGTTTATTAAGGTAAGCTTACAGCCTGGCTGGATTACACCTGTACAAAGGTGCACAGGTTCATATAATTCTGCTTACATGCTTTTACAGACAGGAATGTAACACCAAATCCAAAAGAAGTTTTATGTTTATCCAAGTTATCAGTAGACCAATAACCATTGTTACAAGTGTGCTCAATTTCAGCGTCAGAACCAAATTTATACTCAATTTTGCTGTTTAATGCTATTCATGGAAAGATTTTTATAAGTCTGTTATTAACTAACAAATCACCAAATTCCAGGCAAGTTAAGCTTGAAAAGTACTCCTTTCAAGTGTCAGTTTAGTAAAAGACACCCCATTCAAGAGGTTGGAAGCTAAGTTTAATTATTCGGTTGTACATACATGTAAACACTATTTTCATATGTAAATTTCCCTTTTCTGTCTTTTTTAATAATTAGCAATGAGCACTCTCATGAGGAATGGTCTATGGTGTTCTTAGCATTGTCTATAATAAACTGAACAAAATATTAACATAATTTCAGCTTGCTTCACTTTCATCTGTCTTGGTTACAGTTGTTTCCATTCTGCTGGGACTGCTTTCCTTCGAGGTCTCATCTGTTTGTTCAGAGAGTAGTCCAGCTTTCTTTGATGAAGGTGCAACCTTACCTTTCTGCAGAATTTCAGTAGCTTCATGCTCTAGTACCTCTGATGGAGTCAAAGGCTCCAAATGAATACTGCCCTGCTCACTAATGTCTGAGCTAACGGATTCAGGTTCATCTCTTTTCCTCAGGAACTGCTCAAAACTAACATCTTCACCCAATGCTAGTTTTAAGTCCCTTGCTTTCAATGCAGAAAATGAAGTTTCATCCAAACTACGTACTTTAGTCTGGTCATTCGAGGCAATATTGTCTGAACTTTGGCAAGTTTTCAACTCACTTTCACCATGAATACATTTTTGCTTCTCTTCTACTAATTGCTTGTTATTAGCTGAATCACAACATTGGCCTTTCTCATCCAAGGCATTCTTAGAGCTGCTGTCATTGCTGTCAAGTTCCAAACTGGGAACGTTCTCTGTATTTCGTGAACTTTCTTCACCCTTTTCAATTGATGCAATTTGGTTAATTTGGTGTTGGTTGTGTTCTTTTGTTTCCTTTGAAGAGTCATGTTCTTGTTCGCTGAAAAAAAAAACCACACACAAAGTTATTTTTATAGCAGATAAAATCATAGTTGTATTCTTAAAGATGATACTCAGTGTTATTACAATTTCTCCTTTTAATCTTTCTCATAAGTTTTCTCTTGTTAAAAATAAACTTTATTTAAAAGTTGCTTAGCATTCTTTAATTTCTGCATTTCATCACTAAAAATGAATACTTTGAGGGCCAAATTGTGCCCTTTGTATGACAGGTATGGTTTTCCAAAATACAACATGAACAGTAATCTCTATCTGCACAGTCTCTTTGACACTGACACAACTGTACATACAGCAACTATTTTGAAACTTCTGCTGAAGATATATAAACAAAAGAAACTAATTCATAACTTGATATTGCTGATTTGTCTCTGCATTATCAACAGGAGTCAGAGAAAAGTTATTAGCTAGAAATCTATTCACTGAAGCTGAAAAGTTAGATGCGTATAAATGTGGATTCACAGAAAAAGTGAAGCTGAAGTAGCATTTTTATGCTCACTTTTCAGAATAAAACCAGATGTTGATAAAAACAAAACCTAAAACAATACTGAATTATGCAAGTAAAATTTTTACTATATAACAGATCTCTAAGACACAGCATACAAACTTTACAGACAAAACTACTGTTTAAACCCTGTATTACTTCAATAAAGCCACATGCAGGTCTCTAAAGAGACCAGACAAAAATAGAATACTGTAAAGACTGAACTGTATTTTTCAACTGCCACCTGTACCTGCAGAAATTCAAAGTAGTCTCTTCATATCAATGTATGCAATTGGCATTTATTCCAGTAGTCAAAAATCCTAAATAGCAGTTTCTAATATTTCTTCTCATTTGTGATAGGAACAGCCATTTCCCCCCACCCTTGCAATAAGAGAACTCAATTTTTTTTTTTGCAGGTTTTGATTTGATGAAAAGCTTAAAATTTTTTAATTAAAACTTTTTTCAGAATGAAAAGACAGAAGAACTATTTGCAGATATAAATTCCACATGAGAAGTTAAACTAGGAACTAGTGAGTCTTTTTAATTTTTAAATCTAAAAGAAAAGTCTCTTAACAGTGACATGCAGCTAAAAAAGTAAAAGGATAACATGAGATTTGTTAAAAATTATTTCTTAAATTTTCTTAAAGTTGTTTTTATTTGTTAAAATCATTAATAACTTGATTTTGTGAGTAGTGTAAGAAACGGTATGAAATCACTTCTGGCTAAAACCATCCTTAACATTGGCTTTCAAATCTTTTAGGGAGCAATTCAAACACAGAGTGGTGCCACACGTTTAGACAAGTAAGAGTTCAGCACATAACTGTTACCCTGAAGCAACAGACAATCAGAAAAACAACCCATTGCCTCTATTGGGCCTTTTACAGTGTATTTGCAAGCTAGATGTCTAAGTGTTACCTTATTGATATAGCAAATAAAAAAATCCACAATACTAAATGAATTTCACAGAAAATGGTTGCAGTTATTCTGGTGCAGGTGCTACTTTCTATAAAGAATCAGAAATCTGTTTTCAATTTCTACTTTTACTGAAAGAAAAATCCAGGAATATTCCATACTGTACTTTAAAATGGTAAAATAATTTGAGCAGGAAGAGAGAGAGAAAGAGAGGGAGGGATGGAGAGAGAGATTCTTAAAAGGTGAAATCATATCAGTCACTGAGGTAGTAGTCTCCTTACCCAGTTGCAACCTGTATTTTCTAGCTACTGCCAGGCAGAAAGGCATTTTTGCATTTATTAAGCTTTTCTGAATTTCCTATTATGTTGCCAAAACCAAAAAAGAACATTCTCCAAAACTCAAAATTTCTACTTAAATTACTCTCCTCCTGCTCAAAGCTCCTAGAAGAGATAAAAAAGAAGGCAAATCTGATGAACTAGATAGGAATAAATTCCAGCACAAAAAACTGCCACCACCCAGAATCACCTGCCAGCTGTGGCTTATAGAACTAATCATGCTGTAACTACTAATTTACCTCTTGTAAGAGGTATTAGGAAAGACTGTACTTTATGCAATGAGACTTAAGCTATAGAGCGTTATAGATTCTAGTAAATATTTAGATTTTTTTTTCCCTCCACACAAAAGTTAGACATGTCTTTATGAAAGAATGTAAGTGTATGTGCTTTAGCTACTACTTTTCAGTAAGCACATAAGTGCAAGGTACTATTGCCAAGTAAGCAAACAATTTTGTACAAAGCTATATGAAAAAGGGGTGCAGATAAAGAGATAACTAATGCTTCATTAGTACACTCAGAGAAGTGTTTCCATGCTGGAAATTCTAAATCAACTTTTCATGTGTCTTTATACACATACATACTATACATACACATATGTGTCAACTCACATACACAATATTCACATGGAAATCTCTTCCAATATGTATCCAATATCTCTTCCTATATGTATCTTGAACATATAGAATCTACCACAAACTCCCTTATCTTCTAGTCATGAAAATCCAATCTTTGCTCAAGCCCTAACTCATTCCTGCTCACATTTCATGAGATACAGAAATTGATAATTCAATAGAAGTTAAGAGGATCTGAAAAACTCTATAGGAAAAAAAAAAAGCATACATCTTCAGAAAGGATGTATAAAGAAAGATAACTTTACATTCACTTACAGTATCTTTGCAAATGTATGTGTGCATACATACATTCACTCAGTGGAAAAGTATTTCCAGTAACAAAACCCATATCAAAGCTGCATTCACAATAACACAGCAGTATGGTTTTGAGGCAAACTCCTTGATTGTTCTCACTTAGCACATACCAGTTGGGTTTGCAGAACAGTTCTAGCACATGCACAATTTCTGAACAAAGCTCAGCTAGAAAATCTGCTGAAGTCCACCAAACAGGCTGCACCGCCTAAGGAAGCTGCGTGCATTGAAGTCCAACAGTCTGCTTTTTGGGACAGAAGTCTGGTTCAAAAAAGTTCCTCTGAACACAGCAAAACCGTAGCCTCCTCAAAATCAACTGTTCTGATCTGATCTGCTCCTGCAGCATTAAAAGTCAACATTGCATGTCAACATACCTGCTTTGGCCTAAAAGGAGAATAAAAGTTGAAGGGAAAAAACAAGGTGTTTGAGGACTGAAAAGCTCTGGTCCAAGAGCTGCATGTTCTAGTCATTTCTGCCTTGAAGCCACTGAAATGTGAGACTGTGTGGTGAGAGAAACAAAACAAAACAAAAAAGACATTACCTCCAACTTAGCTTCTCTCTCTCTAATGGAGATTTCGGTCTTTAACCTAATGGATAATGAATTAAGATGTTTTCAAATACTGTATGTATAAAATAGATATAAGAAGAATGAAGACAGAGTAAGAAAATAATTTGGTAATAAGAAATCAATTTTTGAAGTTGCTATTTAGAGCTTAAATGTACTTCAGAGTTCCAGAAGAGGATTACATCCGTCTTAAAATGTTTTATTTGGTATATAGAAATTACAAAACCATTTTATTACATCACATATTCCAATTACTTTCTTGGGGTGAGGGGTGGACAGAAAAGATGGCTTAAAATGGCTAGAAGCATCTGGTAAGCTAATGCTTACCAGAATTCTATATGAGGATTAATTCTCTCCTCATTATTATGGCCTAACAAATCATAGGCCCTACAAATCATAACTGAAACACAGTATAGTCCAGTAAAGTACAGGAATTCTGAAATGAATCTGCCAAGATGTACACTGCAGTGTAAATAGCTGCATCACAACTAACAAAAACATCATAGAAACAAAAGATTTCATTTTACTCTAAGTTTGTAACATTTGCTATAACCCAACTACCCAGAAAAAAAAGTTGTAGTTTACCTCAGAGCAACCATAGTGACCTCCAACTACAATCTGGAAGAGATACTTCCTTCAAAACACCTTCAAAAGCACAGTCCATACATTACACTGGCTATAAATTATTTAAATTCATTGACTTCTAAAACCACATTAATTAAACAGCTTATCTTAACATCATTAAAATTGATTTTCTGTGTTTAAAAAAATGCTAGAAGAGATAGCAGGAAGTATGTCTCCTCCAAAATCTTCCTAAGTCATCACTTCTAACAAAATCCTAACCTTTCAAAGGTTTCCTACAAAAAAAAATCTACCAACCTGAACAAAAACCTCAAAACTGCTTATGCCTGTATCTTCTTTGTTGATCCTGCATTAAAGACAAGTTTAATCTGCTGAAGTATGATGCTCCCTCTGTTACATTTAAATAATGCTATTAATCATAAGTTAAATGATTCATGACTTCAGTGAGCCTTTGTGGTTTTCTACAAGGTACAGAATACTTGCAACAAAGAACAGTTCCACCAACTTAAACTTGATGTAGAAAGCAGAACTAATACATGTTCTATCTACCATACCTACCTTCCCAAGTTAAGGCAAGAAAAAGCAGCATTTAAAGAGAGAACCTTTTCAATTCCTTGAATACACTGAGTACTTTATGCACCACATACTAACACCAATGTCCTAGCAGACAAGCAAAAACTGGGACTGTAGTATAAACAGTCATTTATGATTTTAATTATTACATCTTAATTGACAAGAAATCATAGCAAAAATAAGAAACAAGAAATGTTTTATGGTAACATTCCTGGGTTGACACTGTAAAAATGTGCATCTAATTAACAGTAAGAAAATCATTAGGGTAAATCACATGACAATGCATTTTTCAGGTCAGGGACTTGGAATACTCTGAAGTATTTAATCATTGAGTAGCAATACCATTAAAAGATGAACCAGCACCTAATATTTAGCTTAGCTTGACTGCTTTAATGATGAAATGAATAATTTGTTTAAAAGCAGTCCCTAAACACACAGTTTCAACGAGGAGAACAATTTAGGCACAAATAAATCAGACAGTGCATAGTCAAGAACATGCTTACTGGTCTGGTTCTCTCAGAAAATGAGAAGTTAGTCACCAGAATACATGGGTATGAATTGGATGCAGGGCTATCCATGGTTTAATATATTTTTACTTGATCACATTCTGCT